CTTCGAGGCGGCCAGTCGCGGCGGCGCGTTCTCCCTGCCGATCCCGTGGAAGCCTCCCTCGACGTTGCGTGGGTGGGCGAGGCCCGCGTTGGCGGGCAGGCGGGCCGCTATCTGACGCGTCAATTGAAAATTGCAATGATGGCCGCCTCTGTGAGATCTCGCTGTTTTTTGGGGGTCTCGGGAGGTCTCCTCGCCCCATCGTGATAGCGGTGCGCTTGCGCGCTAGGTTTCGCCGCCCTGTGTATCGGCCCTTCGCAGCACGTGGGGTTCGATTGGTCTCGGCCCGCGGTGCGCCAGCGGATCTTGGGGTGGCTTCGTGGGTCGGTTGTCCTGGGCGTCGGTGCCTCCCTTGCCTCGGGCCCTGGGGCCCCCTCCGCTCGCTCTCGGGCTCTCTGTGGCGCCTTGTCTTCCTTGATCCTCGAATGCCATTGCTTGAGGGTCCCTGTGCTTGCTGGGGCCTGTGCCGCGTCGCCTATGCTACGCCTGGCCTCTGTCAAGTCTGCTATTTCCAATGCCGCGCAAGCGGCGGGGTTAATTCTGTGCCAGTGTGGTGGTGTGCACCCTCGGCCTACGAAGATTTGGTCTTGGGCTGTCTCGTCGCCTCCGCTGGGCGTTCGACCCGCCGGCGCTGGCTCTCTCCACAGGTGTTCGGGCCTTCGTCGGTTTCGCGCTTGTCTAACCTCCTTGGGCCCGCGCGCTGTGCCGCGGAAGTGTTCTTTTCATAGATTCCGTCGGGATTTCGCCCGTTAGGGTTCCGACTGGAGGTCTTGGCGGCTGAAATTTTAAAAGGGCGCTCGTGTCATTCGCCTCGCCCTGTGAACGCTAACGCGTGTAAGTGCTTACTGCGGCCTGGCGGCCAGGGGTTGCAAGTGTGCCTGGTGCATATAATCTCGATTTGGTTTGGCCGCTGCAGGATGTCTCTCGCGTGCCCGTGGGTCGTCGGTGCCCGTGCCCTTGCCCCCTGCAGCAAAGAAAGCCTCTGGCACGCAGAATGGAAGCTGATCGTATAACTGCATGTTGAGTATTTTGATATTTGGGATGTCGAGTGCCGCAGCCACTGCGGCTCAAGCTTCCCGCCTCTCCCTCCCGCTGTCGCCTTGTTCTACGTGTAGTCTCGATTTGGTTTGGCCGCTGCAGGATGTCTCTCGCATGCCCGTCGGTCGTCGGGACCCGAGTCCTTGCCCCCTGCGGCAAAGACAGCCTCTGGCACACATAGTGGAAGCTGATCATCATCATTATCAGTATCATCACCATTATCAATATCAGCATCATCATCGTCATCGCCATTCTCATCATCATCATCGTTATCATCACCATCACCATAATCATCATCACCATTATCATCTTCATTTTCATCCTTGGCCGCTCCTTCGGCAGCAAGTCATGGTAGCGTCGTATATCTTAGTACTTCCGTTGTAGTACAGTCGGACCGAGGTATGAGATCGAGGTCGTTTCGGGGAGGCTACCCTCGTGTTCTTCGTGTTTGTTGGATGTTGTGTACCCTGGGGGGGGTAGCGGAAGGTTTCATGCTCGTGAAAGATGTTTTCTGGTCGAGGTCGACCGTAGGTCGTTCGCGTCGACTAGCGTCTTGTAGGCCATGATATAGTGCCTGTTTGGCGTGGATCAGCGTCGACCAGCGCCGGTTCAACGTCGATTAGTGTTGATGTCAGCGCCGGGTCGCCAGAACCCACAAAATAGTATGGGACGTTCCCATGAGCTGCCACCGAACGCTCCACCTCCTCGAAGGGCCTAGCATGGGGGGAACGGGGTCTGAAGCAAGCGGGTCCTGAACCCTGGGGCCTTCCCAGGACGAGATCATCATCCTGAGTCGTTTTCTGACAATCCTGGGTCCCGTGGAAGGCCCCGAGGTCCCGAAAAGGGCAAACAAAAACCTCATGACCCGTTTCCCACAGGAGTTCGACCAGAACACAGACGACACCACTCCACCTACGGCCCTCCATGTTGCGTTCGTTTGCTCTCTGGTCAGGGGCCCGCGTCCTCCTCTTCATAGCTGCTGCCCCTGCCTCTTCTCGACGGTTACTGCAAGGGGGTTGAGTCCGAGCGGGAGTTCACCAAGGCGCCGCAGAAGCAGGGACGGGGAGACAGACTGTGGGAACGGAGTGCGCTCTCTTCATCGCGCGAGTGGGCGGGGCGCCGAGCGCCCGCGGGCATCGGCGCGGGAACTGCGCGGGCACCGGCGCGGAACCATTGCGGGCACGCGCCGAGTTCCGAGCGGCCGCCCACCCGCACGCTGCTGCTGCTGCTGCGTGCTGCTGCGGCTGCGGCTGCGGCTGCTGCTGCTGCTGCTGCTGCTGCTGCTGCTCTTCCTCCTCCTCCTCCTCCTCCTCCTCACCTTTTGTTCCTCCTCCTCCTCGTCCTCCTCCTCCTCCTGTCGCTGCCTTTGAAGGGCGCTTCCGCCCAGCCCAGCTCCGCGCTCCCTTCGCCTCGGGGAAAGTCCCGCGGGGTCCCGGCAGGAGCGTCGCGGGGGCGTCTTGCGGAGCCCGCAGGAGCGCCCGCGAGCGCCCAGGGCGCGGGCCAGGTACATCGCAGGACCCGTGAAGGACGCTCGCCTCAGTCTGGAAACTCTTCGGCCGCGGCGCGCGCCCCGCGTCCTCCTCCTCCTCTTCCCCCTCCGCTTCCTCCTCCTCCTCCTCCTCCTCCTCATCTTCCTCCTCCTCCTCCTCCTCTCCTCCTCCCCCTCCCGTCCTCCTCCTCCTCCTCCTCTTCCTCGTCCTCTTCCTCCTCTTCTGGCGGGGTCCAGGGGCCCCCGTGGGGGTCCGGCAGGAGGCCCTGGTTGCGGCCCAGGGGCCTTCCCGCAGGAGCAGCGGAAGGCGCCTGTCGGGGTCTAAGGCGCGCTGGGCGCCTGGCCCGAGCTCCCGACCCCGGCGCCCGCCCAATGGGGTCGCTCCAAGGGTCCGTCCTTGCTGGTGCTCCCCCGCGCCTCGTGTTCCGGTCAGTTCTCGTGCTCAGTTCGCGAGTCACCGGCAGGCTCGAGATTAGCATCTTCAGAGCTCTTCACCTGCAGGGCCTGCTCAGGTAGGCGACCAATCAGGGCGCCGCCCCCGACGGGCGGAGTTCTCCCTGCTCCTCCTCCTTGCGTCAGGCAGCCGTGAACGACGAGGCCGTTGCGTTCTTCTTGGTAGAAAGCAAGCAGAGAGTGCAGACCGGTAATCCGTCAAACCGCCTAGTGCAGACTAAACGGCGCAGAAGGTGCGAAGAGGCAGAACAGTGGAGAAACCCGCGAGGGCATAGAGTATTTGATCTGCAGGCGTCGGCAAGGTTGTCCCCTCCCACCCCGCCCAGCTCCACAATCCGATCCCTCCCGTGGTGAAGGCCTTCACCGAGGGCAGTTCAAACCCTCGCCGAGGGCAGCTGGCAGTCAATTTCGTAAAACGCCCGCGCCGAGAACGTTACAAATATCCTATGTGCGACGTGCCATCCTTCTCCACCGCCTTCAACCTCGTTTCTCAGTCCCACCCGCCCTCACCGAGAGTCTGGCGGTCGAGTCACTCGCGGCGGTCGTCTCGCTCGGTTTCCATCCAACCAGCAAACATTCAGGCCGCTGAAATATAAAAGTGAAGCAATTGATGGCGTCGAGTGGGAGATCCGAGTGCTGGCCGAAATATCCAGCGAATTGACGGGCGGCAAGTGGCAACTGATATTGTGTGATGCAGCTACCTCGTCGCAGAATCCGCAGTAAGCTGGCGCGGCCTGTGCTGGTTGGCCTTTCATTGGTCGGGGTAGTATTGTAATGGTCAGGCTGGCGCCGTCTGTACTGGCAGGCCTTCATCCTCACACGCCTGTAGACACTCCTCCCGTATCACATCCTCCATATGCGCCGTGCCAGAAATTGGAGGGCACCTGCTAGGTACGAGCTTCTGCCGCGCTTATCCCCATGAGGGTTCAAAGTGGTGCGGCTCGTCTCAGCATGTCCAGTGCAGTGTGAACTGGAAACGATGCGCAAACTGCTCATTCATGGCGCCGCTGTGCGTGATAGTCGTGAAGTCCTGCTTGTTTCTTAACCCGCCTTGCGCCGAACCCGCGCCGCTGCCTTCACCGAGGGTCGGAAGTCGCTGCGCTTCATTCTCGACTTTTTGGGCGCAATGTTGAAATATCACCACTGGCAAGCTACCAATTGAATGGTGCCGATGAGACTGACACGAGTGAAACTCCCCCCCCGCCAACTCGCACCAACATCCACGTATTCACCACCTGCTCCCAACTGCCTTCGTCGAGGGCCTTTACTGGTCTGCATAATTTCATTCGAAATTCTGGGTGTAGATGGGCTCGGCCAGCCCGATATGGGTCTAGCCGCTAGCCGTCGCCGAAGGTCTTCACTCGAGCCGCGAGTGCACAAACTTGTTTTTTTTCCCACTTCGTCACCTGCGTCCTTCACTTTCCCGACTTCAATGCTCCTCCTTGTCGCCGCCGTCGCCGTCGCCGCCGTCGTCATCGTTGTCGTCATCGTCGTCGTCGTCGTCGTCGTCGTCGTCGTCGTCGTGGGCGCGGGCATGGTCGTGATCGTCGTCGTCGTCGTCGTCGTCGTCGTCGTGGTCGTGGTCGTGGTCGTGGTGGTGGTGGTGGTCGTCGTCGTCGTCGTCGTCGTCGTCATCGTCGTGGTCGTGGTCGCCGTCGTCGTGGGCGTCGTCGTCGTCGTCGCCGTCGTGGTCGTGGTTGTGGTTGTGGTCGTGGTCGTGGTCATGGTCGTGGTCGTGGTCGTGGTCGTCGTCGCCGTCGTCGTCGTCGTGGTCGTCGTCGTCGAACTCGTCGTCGTGGTCGTCGTGGTCGTCGCCGTCGTTGTCGTGGTCGTCGTCGTCGTCGTCGTTGTCTTCGTCGTCTTCGTCGTCTTCATCGTTGGCATCGTCATCGTCACAAGTATCCTACTCCTCGTTCTTTCTCCTTATCCCCTGTCATCGCCATCATCATAATCGCTTTGCCTTCTCCGCCTTTTCGGGCTTGTGCCCGGCCTGCCTGCCCGCCGCAAGCTCCGCCCGCGAGAGGCCTGGAACGCATTCGGCCTGGTTGCCGACGATTCAGGCGGCCACGGCTTGCGTCGCGCGTTGGGGCGTGGCTCTGGAGGGCCGGATCGCGAAGGAAATGGAAGATGTGGAGGGGGAGGAGGAGGAGGAGGAGGAGGAGGAGGAGGAGGAGGAGGAGGAGGAGGAGGAGGAGGAGGAGGAGGAGGAGGAGGAGGAGGAGGAGGAGGAGGAGGAGGAGGAGGAGGAGGAGGAGGAGGAGGAGGAGGAGGAGGAGGAGGAGGAGGAGGAGGAGGAGGAGGAGGAGGAGGAGGAGGAGGAGGAGGAGGAGGAGGAGGAGGAGGAGGAGGAGGAGGAGGAGGAGGAGGAGGAGGAGGAGGAGGAGGAGGAGGAGAGGAGGAGGAGGAGGAGGAGGAGGAGAGGAGGGAGGAGGAGGAGGAGGAGGAGGAGGAGGAGGAGGAGGAGGAGGAGGAGGAGGAGGAGGAGGAGGAGGAGGAGGAGGAGGAGGAGGAGGAGGAAGGAAGGAAGAGGAAGAGGAACAGGAGGAGGAATACGGCCCGAGCGGCCGGCCCGCACGCCCCTTTCTCGTACCCACCCCGGCTTGGCGATCGCCGCTGCCCTGCGCTCCCGAGGCTGCCGCTGCTCCGGGGCTGCTGTGGACGGGCCGCCCTGAGCGGGATACAAGGCTGACGTTGGCGGTATATTACACGCCGCCGTGAGCGGGATATAAGGCTGACTTTTGCAGTACATTACATATTTGCTTTGTTTGTCCGTCCCATTCGATTGTTATATTGGTTATTCCAGCTGGTGTTATCAGACATGCGATTTGTTATATTGGTTATTGCAGCTGTCTCGCCGGCTGCCCTGGCCGCATGGGCAGCGGACTGGTGCGTCCGGGACTGGGACTCCGCGCTGGGCTATCCCGGCGAAGGCCCCCCAGCGCCGCCGCCCGAGGCTACACCTCCCGGAGGTGATGACGCGATGGAGGACGTCGACGACGACGAGCTCACGCTGTCGCAGGGCGCGCCTGGAGGCGGCGGCCTGGCGGCCCAGCACGGCGCCGCGCGCGGGAGGGCAGACGGCGACCAAACAGCAAGGCAGAGCAGGCGGCGTACAACGCAACAGTGGGCGGTCGACATCCAGAAGGCTACACCGCGTCTGGCGTCTTGCACCGGATGCGGCATCCCTTTCGAAACCAATGAGGTCAAGATCGCAACGTGGGGGAGCAGGGATCGAGGTCGTTGGCGGTGTGTCACGTGTGCCTGCCCCCACGCCCTGCCAGGGGACACTTTGACCCGGCGGCCGACGGGAACAGCCAACGACGAACACGTTCTGGCCGCGCAGGCCGCCTTCGCCCGCGCCGCGGCAGCAGGAGGCCACCGTCAGCAGTCCCAGCCAGCAGGGAGCGCCGAATTCCCTCCCCCAGTACACCCTGCATGGGACACCCGAGAGCTTCCGAATCGCAGGTGGTGGGGAAGTCTCCCGTGGGACTCGGTCGTCAAGGTGGGGGCGCCGACCTTCGTCCAGGTCCCCGACCTCTTCCGCGGGGCATTCGTCACGGCCCGCGCCGCTATCCTGGGGGCCTTGGCGGAGGCGGAGGCGCGAGGCGAAGCAGAGCAGGAGTGGAAAGCCCTCCTGCTCTTCGACGGCCTGCTGCTGGCTCGCCCAGGAGGGGGCGCGACGTGTGCGGAATCTCTGGAGGAACGCCTTGCGTGGTTCTGGGGCGGGCAGTGGGCCGCCCTCTGGGGGGGCGCAGCCGGCCGGTCTACCCCGCCGCCGCGGGCGGCTGGCCAAGACTCCGACGAACGGAGGGCGCACCGGGTCCACACCTTGGCAGCCGCGGGAGAGGAAGGACACTCTTGGCCAAGCTGCGGAACTCCTTCCCGACGGGCGCCTCCAACGCAGCGGCCCCGCAGGCCAGGCCCAGGGCGGGAGTGGCCCCTGACGGGGACCTGTTCCAGCAGGTCTGCGAGGACATCGCCCAGCTCCTGCGGCGACCCCCGCGCTTGACGGCCCCGGGCCTCCTCGGCGCGCGCCTGGAGCACCTGGCCTCGTGCACGGACGACCCGGCGGTCCTCGAGTCGATGGCGTGGGCGATCGGGAAGCTCACCTTCGGTGGCGTGCCGGAAGCGGTGCTGCAGGCCCTCCGGGTCGGCGAACTGGTGGCCGTGGACAAGGGCGCTGGCGAGGTCCGGCCACTCCTGGTGGGCGCCGCCCTCCGACTGCTGGGAATGAGGGCTCTCGCAAGGGTGCAAAAGGCCAGGCTCCGCGCGGCGGCGGGGCCCCATCAGTGCGGCGTGGGGCGCGCCAGCGGGGCGGACCTGGTCTTGAAGCAACTGCAGGCGCAGGCGGCGCGACGACGGAACGACGCGTTCATCAAGGTGGACGTGAAGGCCGCTTTCCAGAGACTGGAGCGGGGGCCGGCCATAGAGGCCATGGCGGAGCATGTGCTGGAGGTCGCCCGCGTGCTGGACACGTGGTGCAGGGGCCCTGCGACCCACCTCTGGCGCGACGCGGCCGGCATCTTCGAGCCGGTGTACAGCGCCCGGGGCTTCGACCAAGGCGACCCGCTGGCCTTGGCCGCCTACGCCGTCGGCCAACGCAAGGCCCTGCAACCCTTCCTGGAGCGCCTCAGCGCCCTCGACCCAGAGACGAGGATGCACTCCTACCTGGGCGATACTTACCTCGTGGTCCCGGTGGCGCTGGCCGCGCAGGCGCTCCTCCTCCTGGAACAAGCGCTGGCTCCCTACGGCCTGGAGCTCAACCCAACCAAGACCTTGGCGTGGGTCCCGGCCGTCGCGGGGGGGCTCCCAGACGGGCTGCGCCCTCACTACGTGGCAGCGCTGCCAGTCCTGGGCTCGCGGGGGCCAGGGGGGCGCCTCCTTCCTCTTCGGCCAGCAGGAAGGCGGCCTCGGCGTAGTCACGGACCAGCTCGGCGCCCTCTGGCAGGCTCTCCGGCCGCTCACGAGGCACGGCCTGCGGAGGCAGGCAGCTGGTAGCTTGCTCGGCACCTGCGCCGGGGCCGCTAGCCAGCGCGCCTTGCGGGCAACCCTGGCGACCGACCCAGAGACGCAACGCTGCGACGACGCGCTGGCCAGCTGCTGGGGGAGTTGGCAGGCAGGGACCTCGACCCGCTGATCCGGGAGGTCATCGGCATCTCGCGTAAGGAGGGCGGGGCCGGAGTGCAGTGGGCGTCCGACTGCCGGGCGGCCGCCTTCTGGGCAGGCTGGGCTTTCGCCCTGGAACGGGTCGCCAGCGACGCAGGGGCGACCGCGAGCGAGCTGCTCGAGGCAGTGCCTGACTTGGAGCAGACGCTTGCCAGGGTGCGGGCTGAGCTGCGGCGGCGCGGAGCTGAACCAGCCCCCGGGGCTTCTCCTTGAGGCTCTCCAGAGTCAGGTTAAGCAGAGCAAACTCGTGAAACTTGTGCAAAAGAACACCCCCGCGGCCTTGGGGCGGCGCCTGCCGGTTCACGAGAGGGCTCTGCTGCTGGGCGCTGGAGGCCCAGGCGCGGCTGCCTTCCCGCTGTGCCCGAGCGACCCGGCGTGCACCATGGAGGACGAGCTCTGGTCGTCGGCGCTCCGAGCGCGGGCGCTGGCGCGAAGGCCCGAGTGCTCGCGGGCAGAACTGGCCGTGGCCGCCGACGCGTGCCGGAGCAGGAGCCGCGGGGCCAGCGCGGCGGCGGCCCCCTGCTCGGCCCCGCTGGGCGGCCGGGGCACGCGCGCCGCCATCTGCGCCCGCGGAGGCTCGAGGATTCCGTGGCCGGCCTCATCAAGCGGTGGCTCCACCACGACCCCTTGCAGGAGCAAAGAGTTTCCACGTGGGGCCGCCAGCGGGAGCGGCGGCAAACCGACCCGCCAGACGCCGACCTTCAGGAGCGCGCCATCCTGGACATAGAATGCTTTGAGGGCGCGGGGCGGCATTGGCTTGACGTGACTGTGCGACGCCCGGCGGCAGAGCACGTCGTGGCCGGGGCCGCCCGCAGGCCAGGCGAGGCCGCTCGCGCAGCCGAGCGCGAGAAGCACGCGCGCTACCCAGGCGACCGCCTCGCGCCCTTCGCGGTGGAGGCGCCGGGCCGCCTGGGGGGCGAGGCCCGCCAGTGGCTGGTGCGCCAGGCGAAGACGCTGCCGGCGGACCAGCAGGCCGCGGAACTCATCCGCGCCTACAAGGTGGTCGCTGCGTCGTCCAGACGCAGCTGGCCCTGCAGTGCCGGAGAGCCGCCGGCCTTCGCTGAGCGCGCGGGCAGGGCGCCGGCAGTGCGGCTCTAACCTTGTGCCGTTGTTTCTGCTCTACTTTACCTCTTCTCCCCTTCCCCGCTCCTGCGCCCGCTCGTCTTCCTCCCTCCTCTCCGCTCTCCCTTCGCCGGGGCCCCGCCTGACTGCAGTGTCGCCGCGCCTTTTTTTGTTCCCCCTCCCCCTCCCTTCCCCTCTTCTCCCCCGCTCCTTGCCTCCGGCGGGCGTGCGAGCGCCTGAGGGGGGGTCTGGTGGCTCACGCCTCCCCGCCGCGCGTCGGTCTCCTCCGTCTTCCGGTTTCCTCCTGCCCCCTCCTCCCTCCTCCTTCCCCCGGGCAGTTTTTTTTCGGGGTGTGTCCTGTCGCCGGCGCCCAGGCGGGCTGTCGCCCCCCGCCCGGGCGCCGAGGAAAATAACCTGATAGACACACACACGCCCGCGGAGTGAGGGTTTTTGAGAGCATTGTGGTTAATTTTCTCGGCCTGGCGCGCGTGGACTACCCTCGCACGCCTGACGCCAGTGGACACCCGTCCTAAAGGTGGACGGGTGCTGGGGTCGCGGCAGGACGAGGAGGAAGGGGAGGAGGAGGAGGAGGAGGAGGAGGAGGAGGAGGAGGAGGAGAGGAGGAGGATGAGGAGGAGGTGGAGAGGAGGAAGAGGAGGAGGAGGAGGAGGAGGAGGAGGAGGAGGAGGAGGAGGAGGAGGAGGAGGAGGAGGAGGAGGAGGAGGAGGAGGGGGAGGAGGAGGAGGAGGAGGAGGAGGAGGAGGAGGAGGAGGAGGAGGAGGAGGAGGGGAGGAGGAGGAGGAGGAGGAGGAGGAGGAAAGGAAGAGGAAAAGGAAGAGGAAGAGGAACAGGAGGAGGAGGAGGAGGAGGAGGAGGAGGAGGAGGAGGCGGAGGAGGAAGAGGAGGAGGAGGAGGAGGAGGAGGAGGAGGAGGGAGGAGGAACAGGAGGAGGAGGAGGAGCAAGAGGAGGAGGAGGAGGAGGAGGAGAGGAGGAGGAGGAGGAGGAGGAGGAGGAGGAGGAGGAAGAGGAAGAGGCAGAGGAAAAGAAGAGGGAACAGGAGGAGGTGGAGGAGGAGGAGGAGGCGGAGGAGGAAAAGGAGGAGGAGGAGAGGAGGAGCAGTAGTAGTAGTAGTAGTAGTAGTAGTAGTAGTAGTAGTAGTAGGAGGAGGAGGAGGAGGAGGAGGAGGAGGAGGAGGAGGAGGAGGAGGAGGAGGAGGAGGAGGAGGAGGAGGAGGAGGAGGAGGAGGAGGAGGAGGAGGAGGGAGGAGGAGGAGGAGGAGGAGGAGGAGGGAGGCGGAGGAGGAGGAGGAGGAGGAGGCTGGCCCCGCGCCCGTCAGGCGAGGTGGACGTGAAGGACCTGGGGTTGCTCCTCTGGCTCACCAGCGGCGCCGAGCCCGCCGCCGGCGTGGCCGAGCAGCGCCTGGACCAGATGGGCCTGTGCGAAGGCCATCGGCGCGGCGGCGGCGCGCGCGCGCACGAGACCCGGGGGCGGGAAAAACCTACGGCAGCTCAACGGCAGCTCCTCCTCCTCCTCCTCCTCCTCCTCCTCCTCCTCCTCCTCCTTCTCCCCTTTCTCCTGGCTGGTCGCACAGGGCCAGACGGGCTGGCAAGGCTGCAGGCTCTGGGGTCTTCACACACGGCTTATGCCTTGAGTAGGGCCGAAAATCAGAGAGAGCCTTCCCCCGCAGGACCACCAAAAAAGGACGTCAGAATTCTCAAATGCGTCGCCAGTTGAGCCGAAGAAGACGTGCAACATCCAACCATTCGCCTATGTCCAAACATTTGGCTTGACGTTGGGCGCGGGGCATCAATTCCAGCCTGACCGAACAGGTTGGTTGCGCCCCTTGACGTCCGTTTGGGGTGTTCTGCAGACCTGACCCCCCAGACCTACTCAACTTATGCTCCTCTTGTGAGTTCGATTGCGGCATGCATGCATGCAGTTGCACCGTCGCGCGCACTTCTGCCACCGTGCTGTGTTGGGGGGGCGGGGCCAGGAGGGGCCGACGGGGTCCGTGGAAGGGCCCACGGTAGAGGTTGTTTCTCGGGTCTCTGGTTCCCTGTCAGAAGGGCAAACGTTTTGGGAACTGGAGCGACAGCAAGGGGAAGATGATGTTGTGTGCGGATAGCCAACCCATGCCTTGACAGGGTGCAGATATCGGAGCAAAGGCAGCCGAGGCACAGCGCCGTGGCGGCAACGCAGAGCATCTGACTGGTGACGGGCTGATTCACACGGGAAGTAGGGTTAAGTCGGGCCTGTCCCTCTACAGAGGGAATATTCAAAAATAGTCAAAAAATAGTCAGGGGATTTTTTTGAGTATTCGTTGACCATTTCGGAGTATTCTTTTCGTATTTGTTATTTTTCGTCGAAAATCCCCCTGTAGGGGGACAGGCCCGACCTAAAAGTAAGGGGCGACCTCGGAGCGTCGCCCTGCCACGATCATCGGTTGGCCAAGTCTGGTTGGTGCTCCCCACGAGGTCTCGTGATGGGTCCCGAGGCGAGGTGGAGCAGCCCAGGTTTAAGTTGGGCCTGTCCCTCTACAGGGAGAATCTTCAAAGATGGGACAAAAATAGTCTGGGGACTATTTGTTGACCATCTTTGAGCATTTTTAGGGTATTTTTTGGGGTATTAAAAAAACACATTTTTCGTCCAAAATCATCCTGTAGGGGGACAGGCCCGACTTGAGCCCAGGTGCCTCCCACTCTCTCGGGCGGGATCCCCCTCCTCCCTCCCATGTCAGCCCCTTTTTAGATCTGCGTCGGTGTGTCTAACTCAAGCAGGTTGTGCCGTTGTCCTTTGGGTCGGCGCCAGCGCGTGCTACCGCATACTCCCGAAAAGGAGCGAGTTTCTCAATCACAGCTGGTGCCGCCATGCAAACCTTCTTGTTGCCCCCCCCCTGCAATTCTAGTTGGTAGCGGAGCGGGGGATGACCTCAGCTCGGTATCCACGGAAATTGCGCAGCGTGGGAGGTAGACGCACATCCGCATGTCCTTCATTACCCGCGTCAGTACTACTTCCGGTCCTTGAACAGCTTGTGCTTCCCGCGGTTCCCCAACCCCGCGGGCAATTTGCCGCAGGCATACACAGGCACGGTGCGGCCAACGCCACACCATGTGAGTCCCAATGAACGCCCGGCTACAAAAACAACAGCAGCTGTTGGCCACGTGCAGGTCGCTGGCCCACATGGGCGTCACGACGCCTAGGTTTCCACACAACCTTCCAGTTTTGGCCGCGGAGCGCAGTCGCTTGCGTTTGGTCGCATACTCGGGCCAGTGGTTTGATTCGGGCTGTGCGCAGTAGTGCTGACTTACGTCCTAGTGAGCACGCTGCGCAACCCGAGAGTGACACACTATTGGTTAACGTACCTGCTTCACCACTTCGAGCGCCAACTGAGGGTGCCAGCTCAACGACGGCTGTCCCAAGCATAGAGCTGGCGTTCGTCCGTGTGCAGGTCCGAGTTCCAAGGCGCTTGCGCAGCTCGTATCGTAGTGGATATGTCGAGACGAGGATCTCCATCTTGGCGCCATGGGGCAGCATCATCATCCCTTCCGTGATCGCCCTGGTCGGGTTCACTGGCATGATGCCAGGAGGAGCAGGGCAGCAAGGTGGAGGTGGCGGCAGAGGTGCCGTCATTACTCGCCAGCCGCCTTCTGGTTACCCGACCGAGAATCCGTCTAGCCGTTCTGCCACCGGGTACGCGATTTGTTTTGTGGAGCGTATTGACTCTTGATATGGACAGCAATCAACAGCATGCAGCCATCACCCTGCGTCTTGGTGGAGCTGCTCGCGAACTCATTTGTTTCATGAATTTTACTGAAATGATTCAAAGAGGTTTGTTTACCGGCAAGACCGAAGACGCCGTAGCATACCTGATCGCGAGTTTCGCGACCAAGTTCGGACCACTCACGCGTACAAGCTGCACGGGAGCTCTTCGAGTTCTCGAAGCGACGCAGCGAGACGCCAATGCGCTGCCCTCGCGGTTCTTCGCGCTGCGAGTCCGAGCGACGCACGGCGGTGGAATTGCGATGCCCTGGGAAGGCTACAGCCGGCTGCTCCTCCCAGCGGTAGGCGTCACCGCCAGCCAATTCATTGCGTTGCTCCAGCCTTCGGGCAAACGGCACCCAGCAACAGAGCAAGAGTTCAACAGTCTCAGGACGATGCTCAGACGTCTTGGCCGTGTCGAGGAGCATGCCCCCCGAACGACATTGTCAGCGCTTTCCCGTTCGCCATCATCCTTTGGAGGTTTTGTAGGCGTGACAAACGATAACAGCAACCAACAACGCGCACACAGCACACCCTTGGCATGGGCAAGGGCGCGGCCCCTGTCCTGCGAGTCAACTCTCAGCCGAGCGCCGCGCCGCCGCAGGCCGCATTCCCTGCCGCATCGTTGCGGCCCGCTGATGAATCTCAGGCATCGCATGAGTATGCAAGTGGCGCTAGATCTGGCATCAGTTGAGACTTCGGAGACGCTGTTGGATATTCGTCGGAGCAGTTCAGAGGCTTATCTGCAGCCCGGATCGACGCCCGGCTCTTCTCGTAGATGAAACACCACTTGCAAGAATGGATATGCCATCTAAGCGAGCCCGCCAGAAAACAAAAACAAACAGACGACTTATCCAGAATAGAAGCCGTGCTATCGCGGGCAAAGGAAGAGGCAAAGGCTTGAAGGCAGAGGGGGTTCATAAGAACCGCGTCAGGATTCAGCTGGCCGACGACCAAATAAGCCTCGTGTTTTACGGGGGCAACGGCAAAGGCAAAGGGAAGCGGTTTTTTGAGGCAGAGACAAGGGCCGCAAAAAGAACCCGCGGGGATACTACGGGCAGGTGATGAAGTGCAGAATTTGCCTTTCGGAGTTCCACTTCAGAGCAGAATGCCCGCAGGCTGGTTCTGGGAGTTCAGGTGCCCAAGGAGGTAACTCGAATTTTGGAGGCCACGCCGGCGCGGGGCCTGTCGGTGGCCCCCTAGATGCTAGGCTTCTCTCAAGCATCTCAGGGGTCGTCGTGGTCACCGAGGTTCTTCCGGGGCCGCGGTCACCAGGCCTGCGCAGACGCGCCCGCCGTGCTGCCTGCGCTCCAGGTGCTCAGTGTTGCCACTCGTTCGTCAGGGGCCCAACCGCCCCTGCAGTCTCAGGGCCGTCAGCGTCAGCAAGCCGGTCCAGCCCTGGAGCCTGCGCCGTCCCACGGGTGCAGGTTCCATGAGGGTTCCGCGAACTCACCTGGATAGAATCTCTAACAGTGCAGCGCGGGGGCCTCTATCGAAGGCATCCACGGCGATTCGCCGCCGCCCCCCGCCTTCGGGGAGGGCCTCTGTGGCTAAATATTGGGCCCCAGCTTGGCCGAGCAAGCAGACTATGTGTTCCTTCAGCCGCTCTGGAAATTCTCGGGGGAACGCCCGGGGGAGCATGACAGGGGGGATCAGGAAAGAGGAGGAGGGGCAGGACAATAAGGACGAGGAGGAGTAGGAACAGGAAGTGGAAGAGGAGGAAGGGATAGGAAGAGGAGGAACAGTCACCAGGGGGAGGGGCAGGAAGAGGAGGAGTAGGACAATAAGGCTTCTCCAGAGCCTCTTGGGGCATTCTTGGGACCTCTTGGGAGCTTCGCGGGGGCCTCGTGGAGGCCTCCTGGGGGCCTCCGTGTGCCTCTGGGCGGTCTTCGGGGGCTTCCTGGGGGCCTCTCAGTTGGGGACTTGTCCGAATCGACTTCTGGCACTCTTGGGGTGCTTCAGAGCCGTCCCGGAGGCCATCTTGGGCGTCTCGGAGGCCTCTTGAGCTGTCTTGGAGCGCCTTTGGGGCCGTCTTGGGGGCCTCTTGGGCAGTCATGGGGCCCCTCCTGGGCGATCTTGGGGTGATTTTTGGAGCCTCTTGGGCCGTCTTGGGCCGTCGGGAGGTCAGGAAGAAGCAAGTGTCCCGATCCTCCAAAAACTTCAGGGAGCATCGATGATTTTGGCCTGCCTGTGCAGTCTACTCAACATGGCGAGATAGTGCTGGGACCCCCCGCTGTCGAGCCACCGCTCATGTGCCACGATGCCCTCGGCGACCTCGCCCGCCTCGTGTTGCGTGAGGCCAGACTCGAGCAGTCGGGCGAGCAGTCGAGCCGTCGAGTCGCCCAGGGGGGTCTCGGCTGCTCCTCCGCTCTCGTGCGAGTCGCCCAGGGGGGCCTCGTGCGGGAACAGCCCTCGTGAATCGCCCAGGGGGGTTTCTCGGGGGCGGAAAAGAGGGGGGTGATGACTAGGGGGGGTGGATATCATGGCGGGGGCCATGATATTTCCCCAGATCTCATGGCGCCTCTTCTTATTTCATTACGTCCCTGGCCCCCTCCGCTGGGCCGCGCACATGCCGCCGGTCATGATTTGCACCCCCCCTCTTGGACACCCCCCTCTTGGCCGCTCCCGAGTTTCACGGGGGCGAGGAGCCCAGTTTTGAATCGTTTCCAGGAGGCCTGGACTCTCGCGAATCTTTCGCGGGAGGCCTGGGCTCTTGCAAGCAAATTTGTCGGGTGCGTCGAAACCACGTCCGCTTCTTTGGCTGGCAGCGCGACGGGGGGCTTTGCGTTCCTTCTCGCTTGTCACCGCGTTCTCAATGCTGATGAGCGCCTTGCTGCCGCAGGACTGCTCCACGAGCTCCCAGTTGATGGCCTTCTGGGTTTCGGTTGTGGTATTGCAAACATGTGGGGACTTTGACGTGTTCTACGGTCACCATGCAGCCTGAAGTCACCGGTAAAGATCGGGGCCATGACGTCGACCTTGAAGCAGGTTCGCCACGGCATCTTGCACCGGGAATCTGTGCCAACTGAGACGCGGATTGCGCTGTGCCGGGGCATCCTGTTCACACGGGGCTTGCAACAGGCTGGAATTTGGCCACAGCTATACGCCAGTGAATATACTCGCGTACACACTGCCGTAATGCACATCTATTCCATCGTTTTCCATTCCAGCCAGGACCTCCGCCTCCTCCTCCTCCTCCTGCCTCATCCCACGCTGTTGTTTCGTCACATGAGGATTTCATAGCTCCGGCCATAATGATATTGTACATGAGGCTGTGCTTGTTCAGCAGAATCTGCTTGAATGGCGCTTTGCGTTGTCCTTTCCCGCGCAGTAGGCGTGCGTCGCTCATGGATGACGGCTGTGGCCGAAGCCCTCGACATGTTGTCTGAACGCGCTGGTGCTTTCTCAGAGTTGGAGCGGAAAGCGGTTGCTGGGTGGGTTTCTGTCGTCCGCGACAACCCCAAACGATTCCGTGCGGCCCTCAGAAAGGCGACAGGTGAGAGTACGGTCAATTCTGTGCAAGCGTGGGCGCGGACCCGCTGTATGGCCGAAGTAGACGCCGAGTATACATGTCCGAGCTGTGTGTCTACGTGCAGCACTCGACAACAATTGGCCACCCATGTTTTCACTGTGCATGGAGCGTGCAGGAAAATGTGAGTTGTCACTGACACCGAACATTGCCCTGTGTGAATGTAGTGGTTCGGAACGCGCACGCGTGTATTGTGCACGTGGAGGAGAAATCACCACGGTGTCGGCGAATTATCCTGGAACGTTTCCGTCAGCTCCCCGATGACAGCGTGGCCGTTCTCGACGAACGAGGCGTTGAAGAAACAAAAAAGCTCGGCTGGATCGGGCGGAGGCGGCACCATGCTGACGCTTGGGTCACGCGCCTGGCAGGCTCGCTGATGAAGGAGGCGTTCGGAACCGGTATTAAACGCGAGTCCTTCCTCACCACCCGTCTATCCAAAAATCGGGTTGAGCAGCCAGTGCACCTCTTAATGAGGTCTTGCACAATGCCCGTCTGCTAGGATGGAGCGTGCTCGCGAATTACAATCGCATGTGCATGAAACCCGAAGCGCTCGTCTTCAGCTGCACTGAGCGAGCGGACGAGGAGGAGGAGGAGGAGGAGGAGGAGGAGGAGGAGGAGGAGGAGGAGGAGGAGGAGGAGGACCAGTGTAAACCCAAGAGGATCAGCAACCATGTTGGAGTAAACCTTCCCTCAAAGCTCCCTCTCTGTAGGCCCCTACAGCGGTTCATGTCCATTGATGGAACTGCCTTGTTGGAAAACAACCATTTGAAGACCCTGAAGCATGTAAACATTGTTTTCGGGATTCAAACGCCACGGATCAACCTGATTGTTCCGTCTTGCCGAATCTGAATCGTGCCAAAACGCCGTTCCTAGGACTTCATCACAGAAGATCAACGTAACTCTTGCGCCCGCGAAATCTTGAATCTTTCCAACACCCAACTTTGGTACGTTGATGATGGGAGACCGCGGAACTCTTAAGCATTATGTGAATGAATGTGCCCGTCGCTAAAGCGAGAGCCACATTTTGAAAAGGAGCCGCCCTCAATCCGTGAAAATCTAGCACATTTTAAGAACAAAGGTGCGACGCGCTAAAGCGAAAACCACAGTAAAAACACTTTCCCTCAATCCGTGAAGCTCTTGCATCTGTTCAAAACGACCGTGCGCCGCGCTAAGGCGAAACCCGTATTTTTAAAACGACCCGCCCTCAATCCGTGAAGCTCTTGCAGAGGTTAAAATCAAATGCGCGCAACGATAAGGCGAGAGCCACACTTTGAAAACTGCCCGCCCTCGATCCGTGAAGCTCTTGCACCTGTTCAAAACGACCGTGCGCCGCGTTAAGGCGAAACCCATATTTTTAAAACGATCCGCCCTCAATCCGTGAAACTCTTGCCAAAGTTAAAATCAAATGCGCGTCACGCTAAGGCGAGCGCCACATTTTGAAAACGGCCCGCCCTCAATCCGTGACGCTCCTGTAAATTTAAAACCGGATGTGCGCCGCGCTGCGGCGAGAGCCACATTTTGAAAACGACCCGCCCTCCATCTGTGGAGCTGTTGCCAATTTCTAGGCTTCAGAGTCATAAGTGGTGAGGAAGTCTCGGGCGAAACGCCCGGCCCGTCCTATAAACATTGGCTTCGGGGTGCGACAGGGATACATTACTTAGAAGGCAAAAAGGATGCAGGAGGAGGAGGATGAGCAGGAGGGGCAGGAGGAGGAAGAGGAGGAGGAGGAGGAGGAGCAGGTGCAGGAGCAGGAGCAGGAGCAGGAACAGAAGGAGAAGTGGAGGAGGAAGGAGGGCCCTGGCGGCGCGGCGGCTCCCCCGCAAGGCGACCGCGTCATCCGGAGCGCCTGGGTCGCCAATTGCCTCCAGCAGCGGTGAGGGAGCCCTGCGGGGGGGTGGGAGCGCCAGCGTGCCGTTGTCACCCAGGGCTGCGGGGTGGGAAGGGAGGTCGCCCTAGCTCCCAGAGGTCGCCGGGTTGAGCTGGCCTCGGGCGTCGCGTAGTGGTCGGCGGCGACGATAAAGGCGAATAGCCCAGGGGCGGGCATTGCACGTATTCGCCCGGGAGCCTTGTCGACGATATATTAGCTAGATTCAAGACATACTTCCACAACCTACTTCTTTACATGGCGAGGAAGTCATTCGCGAAGAGCCGTTCGGGCGAAACGTTTCCTATTCGTCCACAGAAGCTTATGAAGATTTAGCCATTCACGCGTCACCTATGCACGCCATTCATGGCATGCACACATTCACGCACCCCGTTCACGAACACATTCATCTATTCACACATTCACCTGTGCACCGATCCACCCATTCACTCATTCGCCCATTTACCCATTCACCCATTCGTGCATTCACCGATTCATCTATTCACCCCCATTCGCCCATTCACCCATTCACCTGTTCACGAATTCACCCATTCACCTATGTACCCACTCACCCATTCACCCATTCACCATTCACGTATTCACCCGTTCACCCATTCACAATTCACTTATCCAACCATTCACCCATTCACCTATTCACCCAAGCACCCGTTCACACATTCACACATGCACACGTAAAGTATTCGTAGTATAGTATTATAGTCGAGGGTCTTGCGGAATTGGGCATTGTGCATTGTGCATTATGAGGAGGAGAAGGCGGAGGAGGGGGGGAGGTTGAGGAGGGCTGGCGCTCAGAGCTGATCCCCGGAAGACCCTTCCTGGGGTCCGGGCGCGCCCGAGCGTCGAGCCGGCGGAGAGCCGCGGCGACGCGGAGGGCCCCCGAAGACCAAGAAACCTCGAACCTCGATCGATCCTCGAGGAGCCTTGCTGCGAGGGGGATTGGGCCGCCCCGGGCGCGAGCAGGTAGGCCGCGCGCGCGCCCAGATGTCACCGTTGTCATCATCGTCATCGTCGTCCTCCTGCTCTCTTCCCCTTTCGCAACCATTTCCTCGTCGAATTTTCCGTCGCGACGCCCGCGCCGCGGCGGCGAGCGCTCGCGTCGCCCAATGTGGCGGCGAGCAGGCGCTGGGGCGGGGGACTGTTGCCCTCCTCCCTCCTCCCCCTCCTCTCGTTTCCGTGGGCGGTCACCATCCTCCCGCCCCCGTGGGGTTTCCCCTTCCTCCCCCTCTTCCCGTCGGGGCTTATTCCCCCTCCTCCCTCCTCTCCCCCTCTTCCCCCGTCCCCCCTTTCCTCACTCTCTCCCCCCTTCTCCCGCCTCTCCCCAACCCCCCTTTCTCTGCCTCTTCCATTTCCCCCTCCTTTTTTCCGACCTCGGAGCGTCAGGTCTTCTACCCCGTTCCTTGCGTTCTCCTCCTCCATCTCATCCCTTCCAGACCCGGGGCCCGCGCGGCCCTCGCGGCGGGCCCGTTCGCGGGGCTCGCAGTGCTCCCTCACCTCGGCGTGGGGGAGAGGGGTGCTGAAGGGACGCGTAGGGAGGGGGAGGGGCAGGATGAGGGGGGAGGGGGGATGGGGGGAGGGAGGAGGCCGACCAGAGTGAACCTTGGATGTGTCAACGAAGGTGGAATATTCCCGTCTGCCCCGCACCTCCCCGCGTAAGTCCAGGGCCAGAGGATGCCGTGCTAAACCTGGAATGCGTCAGCGATGCTGCAATGCGCCCTTCCGCTCCATGCCCCCCTCTCATAAGTCCAGCGGCAGGGGGGCAGAGTGAAATTTAGATGCATCCAACATGCTGCAGTGCACCCTCCCACCCCATGCCCCATGCCCCTCTTAGTTAGTCCAGGCGCAGAGGATACCATATCACCACAAACAACAAACAACAAACAACAAACAACAACAAACAACAAACAACAAACAACAAACAACAACAAACAACAAACAACAAACAACAATCAACAAACAACAAGCAACAAACAACAAGCAACAAACAACAAACAACAAACAACAAACAACAACACATGGAGTCCGTGCAAGCAGTTTTGGCCCATGGCCCTGCAGCCCATCGATTCGTGAACTCATGGACGTTGACCTCGACGATCTTGTTGGGTTGGTCAACGCGGCCCTCGCGCCAGGGCGGGGCGCCGCGGCGCCTGGGCATGGCGCTGCTGCACGGGCGCCGCTGTGCGGGCGCCGCTCCAGGGGCCTCGCTCAGCGGATGCGTGATGCCAAGAAGATCAAGGAGTTGGCATCAGGTCCCGTCGTGGCCGAGCACACGCTAAAGCAGATTGATCGGGTCAATAGAAATCTTGCCGTTCGAAAAAAAGATGTGATCGATTCTCGCGGCTGTGCCGACCCCGCCGCCCTGCCCTGGCCGCCGAAGGCCCTGGCGGCTGTGCCCGCGCGCCGGGCCACGCGCGTTTCCTGCCACCATGAGGGCCTCCACCGAAGCCAGCGCCACAGGGGGCCGCGTCTCGGTCGACACCCCCTCGGCCTCTCGTCTGGGAGAGGCGGCGGACCTGCGGGCCAGGAAGCAACCGAAAGTGAAAAAGCGGGGCCAGCACAAGTGTTGGTTGCCCACTGCGTCGCTCAGATGCTGTTTCGGCCACGTGGTCCGCAGGGGCGGGCAGCGCGGCAGTCGGCGAGTCACTTATCTTGCGATGTCAGGTCATTCTGTCAGCGACGTGTTCGAGGGTGGCCACACCCATATCCAGAATACCATGGACGCTGGAGCTCTTGCAGTGTGGAGGTTGCAACAGGAGCGCATGAGGAGCCTCCCTTTCGCACAGTTGTGCATCATCAAGATCACGTTCGACGAGACCGAGACGGTCGTGAGCATGCGGGGTTCTGGTCAGTCCGTACGTTCTCTCTTCATGCTTCACGGCGAGGTGCGCAGCTTCGAGAGGATGGGCGGCCCTGGAGTGCGCCATCAGTTGATGCTTCCTCCGGCGGTGCTGTCCAACACCAAGACCGAGTGTTTCTGGAACGCCATCATGAGTCGATTGCCTGACACTCTCGCCGATATCAAGCGTCGGTGCAAGTGCATGGCTATAGTTATTGGGAGTGATTCTGCAAAATCGTGCATCAAGTTGGGGAAAGTATTCAAAGGGCGCACTGCTCTTACCGCTGGCTTGGACGGTTGCGTATCTGTGTGGGCCCCGTGCCTCATGCACATGGCCGCCTTGTGCGTGTTCTTCGCCATGAAGGTTCACGGCGTGCTCGTCCCGCTGTTCTGCGCGTGCGTGCTGATGCGCCAGAGCAAAGTTTTCCCCGCCTTCGTGGTCCGGGCGGAGCTTCAAATCGAGAAGATGGAGATCGTTTTCGAGGAGCCCGATGGAGTTGAGGAGACCCATCGCTACCTGGTTTCGTTGTTCGCTTTCCTTGAGCAAACGCGGAGCACTGCCCTGGACGAGGACGCTGGGCCGCACGTTCGCTCCCGCAGGCAAGCTGCCGCTCGCTTGTCAACATCCTTGAGCGCCTCCCTCGTCGAGAATGGGAAGATCACCAAGTTGCGTCATTATTGCACTTGCGGCTGTTGCTCGTCTGAGGCTGAAGCAGTGGAAAAAGTGAAAGCAGATTTCAAGCTTGTCTTGTTTGGCGTGCCCCCCGATGTGCCCGCTTGCAACCGATGGGCGAAAGTGTATCCGCCTCTCTGCTATTGGATGGTGTTGATGGCGTTTCCCTTCACGGACCCGGCCCTCCACGAGGTGGCGCAGGTGAAGTGCGACTTGAGCGAGGCGGCCGTGTTCAACGACGCGGGCGAGGTGGGCTTGGGCGAGGAGGACACCTGGCATAAGCGCTTCCGGGCACGCTTCAGGACCCCCAGCTCAAAGTTGCCCCCCCACCCCCCCCCCCTTTGCCGCCCCCCGGGGGGCTGGAGGAGGAAAGGGGGGAGGGGGGAGATGCGCGGCCCCTCTTGCCCCGCCCTGCGCCGCATCTCCCCCCGCACTTTTCCAACTCCAGCCCCGCCCTGCGCCCCGCCCTCATCGACGCCGCCGTCGGCGACGACGATGACGGCGATGAAGATGATGAAGACGACGATCGCATCATCGCCCATCTTGCGCCCCCGATCCAGGAGGGTATTGCTGTGGGTGCGCACCGAGACCATGCAGAGGACGCTCGCTGTCTTGACGACGGCGCTGCGGAACATGATTGATTTGTTCGGCGTGTTTTTTTCGGAGGCGAAGTTCAGCAGTGAAGGTCGGCACAGTGCTTTCGCGTTCTGTTGCCCATCGAAGTCTCCAGCGGTGCGGTGCCTGGGGCGGTATTTCAACGACATGGCTGATATGGGCGCCTCGTGCTGGCGACCAGTCGCAGGCGCTGGCGGTTGGGGGCCCAAATCTCTTTACGAGGCTGGCACCACGAACACCATTCTGGTATGCAACCTGTGGCAGCGGGCCGTGAGGCCGTTCGATGTCTGGCCGTGGCGGCTCGGCGTCATCGTCGATGAAGCTGCGCCCGAAGCAAGGAAGATGGAAGTCGCTCGGCAGCTTTTCGCTCTGAGGGAATGTTGCGTCGAGTGCGGCATAGCTTTGCACGTCCGCAGGGTCGCTCGCACAGAGGAGAGGCTCTTGGCCAGTGAGGAGATCAAGGCCATGATCCGCGAGATCCTCAAGGCTGCCCCTTCGAACAACATCCAGAACGAGGACAGGTTCGCCCGCCACAGAAACCACGCGGTCTCAGCCAGAGGCCACGCCTACGACGGCGCAAGCATTGCCTCGCGGCACTTATTGTCGGAGGCGACGGCGTGGCACAGCCGGGCCCACGACCAGTGTTGGAGTCAGCTGGTCAAGGATATGGAGCGGGCGAGGGCCGCGGCGCAAGCTGCGCGTGCCGGGGAGGAGGGCGACAAGTACCTGAGCGGATGGAATGCTTTCGTTGCTGCCAATGCGAGGTCTGAAGGCCACCAGGCAGTGCGGGGGCTCAGGCAGAGGTGGAATGGCCTCACTGCAGCCGAGAAAGCAGAATGGAGCAACAAGAGGAAGGCGCCCTCGGTCAACGAGGCTGAGCCCGACCTCCAGCGCCTCCGCGAGATGGTGCAGAGACTAACTCCTTGGAGCATGGGGTCCGAGGACCAGGCTTTATCGGGGGAGGAGGCCGCGCCGTTCTTCAATTGCATCAAGGCG